TAAGACTAGCCACGAACAATGAAATCCAATTGATCTAAAAATAATTAGCTTGTTTTTGTCGTCTTTTTGACTTACAACTTTAATCTTTCTTTCGCAGCACTGTAATATTTAATCATACAGCAAAGGAATTATTTGATTTCTTGTTTTCAGATTGATTTTTTTTTTATATTTTCCATTGTTTTCTCAAATGTTAGCTGTTATAGTACAAGAATGGAAATTCTGTTGTATTTGGTTTCCATCTGTCCTCCGAAGTCAATAATAGCTCATTTTTGCATATTCAATTTCTTGGCCTCTTTTGGGCATTTTGTTGTGCGGCAAAAAATAATATAATTTCTTGTTTTCTTAGTAGTTTTAAACATCAGTTTGAGTTCTTTTTGTTGATATTTTTAAATATTTTGACCCTTCATTTATTCAACTTAAAATAAACAATTTCTTGAAACCTAATCTTGTGTGTGTGGTTACTGTGCATTTGGTTTATTTTTAGCGCTTGTGCTTGTGCTGAAATGTTAAAAAATCGCCGGAAATTTAGGGGTGGGCTGGGTGCAATTTCATTCGGGCATCAGTGGGTTAATAGCTTGAACGATTTGTAAAATCGTAAAATGTAAAATGGTTGCCATAAAAAATTGTGGTTGCTAAAAAAAAGAAACTTAATATCCAGGAGAGGACACTTCGTTTAATGTTACATGAAGGTCTACTGCACTGAGCGACACGTTAGCAACACCTTCTTTTACCAAGTTGTTATGTTAAGTCACTTGCCGATTAAAAGATTGTAATAATGGGCAAGAGAAAGAGAAGGAAGAGACTCTGACGTCTGGTAGAAGAAATGATTTATTCAAAGCTGCTGAGACTGGGTAACAAGTTGCCAATGGCACACAAAACCTTTCAAGTCAATCAAATTGATCATTTTGTAGATTTACGCTTATCTAAACTTGACTCGATCCTATTTCCATACATTCCTTTATATTTCCGTAATGTATAATCAGTCACACTGGTTGTATTAAAATGCTGCACTAAGTAAAATGAAATTAATCTTAAGTTAAATCATTTCGACTTGATCTCACTAAGTATGGTTAACCCATGGGCACCTGCATGAAATTGCGCACGACACACTCCTAATTCCCTGGTTTTTTTGTGGAATATTTCAGAGAGAGCGTAAGCACAAAAATAAACCATATGTACAGTAACCACAGACAAGATCCGGTTTTAAGGCATCGTTTATTTAAAGTTGAATAAATAAAGGGCCAAAATATTAAATCAAAGGGGGACTATCATTACTCATGGATATGGAAGTGAGTTCTGATGCTGTGGTTTGAAATTGGTAAGTTGAGATGGCTTTATAATTTATTCTGGTTTTAATAGAATATAATCGTATCTCCAACAAAATTGTCATTCTTGATTGGTTTTCTGTATGCGTACATGTGATGTGTAACTGCTGCAGAAACTTTCGCATCAGTTTTCTATCGCAACTGGTGAGCTGCTAATGTTAGGTTACTTTCATTCTCAGTGGTGGATCTAGGGGAGGTGCCAGGACCCCCGGGTCCCTCCTTATTTTGGGTAAAAAAGAAAAAATCACAAAAGGAAGAAAAGCTGGCAGGGCAAGCAAAACAATCCCCCCTTAGCTCAAGGTTTGGATGTGCCACTGATTCTCTAGGTCCACATGTGCAATGAAACTGAATGAGAGCTGTTATAAATAGAGTGGACTACTGTAATACAGCCTTCCAATGGAGTACACTAGTATCAATGAGATCCTTTGTAGAATGGCCAATTCTGTTTGGCACAAAGGTGGTCATTCCTCCCTCATAAGATGTAGTATTTCTATTCGGTTATACAACTTACTGTACATCCTGGAAACAGTAGCTCTCATTGAACATGTCACACATCTCTATGAAGCTAAAGGAGTTTTTATTTAGAGAAAGGAAACTGTATCATAAGCTTTTTGTCAGCATCTTGCATTGAAAAACGTTGTGTAACGTTATCTAAATTGGTGTTAGCAAGTCAGAACCCAGCCAAACCATATGAAGTTCAAATTATTTGTCGTGAGAAAAAAATCTCTTTTTCGGTTGACTTAGGTATCAACGTAAACACAGAAACATGAGGTTTTATTAGCAAAGTTGGTCACAACACAAATGTCCCACATCTTTACAGCCATACTGCAAGGTAGACATCAACAGTGCAATCAAATTAAAAATATAAATGCGAGCTCAGTGTACCAAGGCTACAAAAAAACAGAACTATGAATAACATCAATTGACTTTCATTGATAAGTTTGTCCAGTCCACCAGTTACTCAGTATGGCATACAGCCATACTGCAAGGTAGACAACAACAGTACACTCAAATTAAAAATAAAAAACTGAACTCAGGGTACTGAGGCTAAAAAAACAGGACTATTAATAACATAGATTCAGGTTTATTGATAAGTTTGTACAGTCCTTCGAAGAACACCATTTCGCACTACCTCAGATTCTCGCTTCAAGTAAAAGAAAATGCAGCAAGAAGACCCTTGCAGAACAAAAAGTACTCTGTCAAAGACATGTACAGCTACAGTACTGTGCAAAAAGAATGCAAATGAATTTCCTCGAAATTTGGCTACTGTTCCCGCAAAATATCGTAGAAATTTCGAGCGAAGAATCGTGATTTATTGGGCGATATTTCAAAGAAAATTCGTTGAGCGACACGAAAATTTGCTAATCTAAGAATGATATTTCGATGAGATTTCACCAGAAATGAGACGAAGATTTGCATAGCTAAACGAAAAATCATAATCCCGAAACGGTATTTCGTTGAATGTCGGTGAGCGTATGGTATTTATGAATGAATGGAATTGACAACTGTACACACAGCCCTTCGATGACCTTCAAAACAATTAAGCTTAAGCAATTAAGCTGAGTGTCAACACAACCTGAATGAAACTATTCAAAAGAATTCACAAGATATTTCAAAAACCTACAAGCTTAATGTTTATTCGATTGATAGTTTGTCTATGAAGAGATACAACAGTGTGATGCCCTTACCATTTCGACTGACAACAACGTTCGATTTAAGCTTACATTCTTCTCTCTCGTGAAGTCCTTCGACTTTCCTTTGCCGTTCATCATTCACAAACAACTCAATGTGTCGAGTCTCCTGTTGAGGCGTGGTGTTAACCTCCACTGCTGTAAAATGAATGCCTAGCGTGCGCCAGTAATGTCAAGAAATGCACCCTCGAATTCCCTCATGGACTGATGCCATTTTGGAATTCATTCCATTGTTTGCCCTTCATATAAGGAAGTTAGGTCCCAGTCTTCAGTGAGT